CAAGAAATTTTCTTTAAGGAGTAGAAGCACATGAAAAAGGGCCACCAAATGAAAGTTCACGTAGGAGCTCATGTGCTGAATTTTATTATATTAATGTTATATTAAGGGAAGTGGATTCATGGCCCCGCTAGCTTAAAAAAATTGGAGAAAGAAACAACACATCACCACTCACGGTTTTGGCATCATTTTTTAAATGGAAGATGAGGGACCACGTGAAATTTATCTCACGGCAATATAAAAGAAGAGTAGCACACAATGCAATTGAAGTGGAATCAAAGAGAGGGGACCACGTTGCTTTCCATACTGCACATCCAACAATTAACGTGAAGCTTGCTGAAACAAAGGGGGCCACTTCACAGTTTTCTCTACATTTTGGCTGCAACTAACATAAAGAAGGAAGAGGGAAGTGGACGGCCCACTTTGACTACATGTGCATATTTTAATCCCCATGTTTTTCCAATACAAGGTTTTGAGTCTTCAATTGATAACAAAAGCACATGCCCATTCATGCAAAGCCATCACGTTGAGAGAAAGAAGCAACACACCCATGAGAAGCTTGGGAGCTGCAAAGTGAAGAAAATTATAAAGGAGACACCACATGGAGGAGTTCTAAATGAAGGTGCTGAATTTGTTGAAGTATGAAGTGTGAATCTTATTTTGGAGGAAGAAAGTGGTTTGCTACATTTACTAAATAAATGCCACGGCCTTGTGCATCAAAAAGCCACGGAGGGCCCCTTTTCTTATTCTTTAGGGATTGAAGAAAATGGAAAAAAGCTTGCTACTTTAGACAAACACATTGGGGCCGTCACATTTTGCTTGGAAGTGGTTAATAGTTATCATCATATTAAATTATTGGAGAAGAGAAATACAAGTCTAGAGAAGTGGGGACGGTACACACAAGCTGTTTTGCTTTGGAAGAGTCATGGCTCCAGCAGCATTTTGAAGGTCTCACGTCCCAGAGGTGTTCACGGTGCAGCAGCTGATCAAGAAGAGGAGATGCTTAACGGTCCAGCAGTTTGAATTTGGAACAACTACAGTCACCACTTGTTTGAGACCTGGTTCTTGAACGTAGCTAAGGGAGAAACGTTGGAATGAAAGAAGCAAAGCACGGCTGGAAGAAGAATGAGAACGGTGTTGTGTTCCAGCCACTACTTATTGGAAGCTCAAAGTTATTTTTGCAGAATGGCAGTAGCTAATATCCAAGGAAATGGAATGATGGTTGCAGCAAGAAGAAGGCGAAGCATCCATTAAGAGAGTGTCCAGCCATTGGAAGAAAGAAGAGAAGCCATGGATGAATGGAAAGGAGAAGGCACGTTGATGACAGCACACATAGCCACCTTCACTGCCACAAAGGAGAAGGAAGGAAGCACGGTCTAGCTTGGCACAAGGAGAATGGTGTTCTCGGCTAGCATGGAATTGAAGCAGAAACGGACACAACAAAATGAAGGGTCCCATCTATTCCCTTGGAAAGTCTAGGAGTGCAAGAAAGTCTTCCAGCTATGCAGACAAAAGACAAAACAAAACAACTAGCTGAAAGGAATTCAGGCTGCCAATTGGAGACAAGACAAAAATAACCAAGCTGAAATGCAGGAAGGTCACGGGCTGCCAAGACAAAATCCAAAATGCTGAATTGAAGGAGGATGGCCAGAGTTTTGACACTATAAATTGGCAGCAAGAGCAGAGAAGGCAGAAGTAGTTTTTAGAAGTAGATTTTAGGAAGTAGTTTAGGAGTACTGTAGGAAACACTCTCGGTTCCTCTCTTCCAGAGGTTCTGAATTTTCATTTCAAACAGTGCTAAAATGTAGTTTTAATATCTGAAGCAGTAGAAGTGTGTCACCTTTGCTCGTACATTCTTAGTTGTATTGTTCAAGAATTTTAATTTAAGTGTTGAAAGCTTTGATGAATTTCATTTCCAGTTAAATGTTTTTTATTTTTATTTTGCCGGTTCTGTTTTCCATATCGTTAAAATCAGTCATTGCCTTTTACCGTTCAGTTTATTTTCAACGTCATTTTTACATGTTCATTTTCACTGTTGCTTTGGGTAAATTTTATTTACACTGCGGTTATGTTTTCTGCATGTTTATTGTTCCAGAATTTTAATTTCAAACACTGTTGAATTTTCCATTTTCCATTTTTACTGTCTTTTACTGTTTATTTTTACAGTCGTTGAAATTTATTTCAGTGTTTTTAATTCTGCATTATTTAATTTCCAGTCCAGTTTAAATTTTCCGCATCGACAAAAATCACAAACCCTCCCCACTTTGTGTTAAATCTGAGACTGAACAACAAATTGGTCCTTGAGAGACGACCTAGGAGTCACTTCCTAGTAATATACTGCATTATTTTCGTGCAATCAACTTTTTGCGAGAGGCGCGACCCTCTCGTCAGCTAGTGAGAACAATTTCAGGGATTCAGTTCATCTATTTTATTCTTCTCTTTTTACTGAAATCTTTGTAGGATACTATGTTATGAAATGTTAGTGTTAGAATGAGATTGACAGGTTACTTGTAGAAGGTTTAGATATGAGAATATGTTGGAAAAGCATATGACAGTATGTGAATGTCAATTTTGTTGGAGAGTGCTTACCAGTACGCTATAACTGATAGTAAGGATAACTCTTCCTACTTAATATCAGCCCAAACATCACGGTCCTATTGTGACTTGGCTCACCTAATTTCACCTTGAACAATTGATGCCACTCCTAACAAATTTTTATTTGTCTAATTGAGGAGGATCAGTTATTGTTTCCAGTTTTTGTTGTCAACATAAATAGTAACTACTTGTTATGATGGGTAGATTAGGAAATGGGATGAACCTTGAATTCTTTTGGCCAATATTTATCATTGTTTTCAGTTTGTGGACTGAAGCATAGCCGCGTTGTTGGGAAAATGTCTTGCTCCTTAAATAATATAATTAATCATTTCCTTTCTTTTCAAAACAGTAATTTTTTGATAGTGAAGAAGTGATCGGATCTATTGACATGAAAGGAAAGATGATTTCTTATGTTTTGCTGAGTTATTTCTATACATAAATATTCAGGAATTATGACCAAGCTATCTAAGGAAACTAAATAAATTAAGGAAATAAGGAAACATGCAAATAGAATCAGGATGATATATGAATATATATAACAGAACTTTTAAACTGTCTTGTACTTTTGGTTAACAATCTATTGAAAAAGACTATGATTAGTTCATCCCTTTTTTGCATGTGTTGGCTCGTGCCATTACTCCTTGGGCTGTTGATTTTTAAGCAATGGAAAACATAGTTAGTATTGATTTAACTTTTTTCTTTGCCAAATATTCTAGATTATATTATTTTATGTTTGTTGCTTTTATGGTTTTAGTTTTCCTCTAATATGGAGCCCTTGTTGGGGCTTTCCTAAACTGTCATAACTCTTTGATGCTAAAACATATTTGTTTTGTTGCTCTTCCAGATTGGGAAATACCCATAAGCATTATATGAGTATTTTTTTTTGTCATAGAATGGTCAAACTAAGTTTATTAGGCCACTTAGTTAAGTTATCATCTACTACCTTTTGTATATCTTGTGTTCAAATTGCTTCATTATTTGAAAACTCTAAATTAATTGAAGTTCACAGGGTTTGATATTTGATCCCATTATGGTGTCTTTTAGAAGTTACTTAAGTGTTAACTGCCCGTGCATTCCTTTTGTTAATTTAATTATATGTTCTGATTTCCACTGCAGAGATGGATTCTTTTTTGCTGTAAAACAAGTTTCACTACTTGATCAAGGGAATCAGGGAAGGCAAAGTGTATATCAACTGGAACAGGTGAGAAGGGATTTCTCTCTTCTATATTGCTTTGGTTTGTGAAAAATGTTTCTTATTTTTGTTTAGTGCTTTCACTTTTAATTACAAAGTAACACCTTGTTTTCATTTTGTTTATTCTTTCCAAAAGTTGGGATATGAAAGTGGAAGCAACATTTAATTGTTATCTGTTTACATTGTTTCCTGTACAAATTTTGACAATAGGAAAGAAAATGAAAACATAAAACATTTTGTTGAATCAAATGACCTCAATCATTTTCCATTAATGAAAATCCTTTGCTGAAATGAAAAAGGTTCTCTTACCCAAATATAGTGCTATCTTTTGCAATGTCGTACAATATATTTTTGAGAGTTGATTAACTTTATCAGTTTATTAACCTCATGTCAATATTTTTCTTCTAGATTTCTTTCTCAATTTACTTATCCGTACAATATATTTTTGAGAGTTGATTAATTATATTTGATTCTATATGATGCCTAGTGAAATTTGTATTTGTAATTTAAACTATGTTGTTTATTGCAGGACCCGTCAAATCTGTATATCTTTATTGAGCTTGTAACTAAAGGATCCCTTAGAAATATCTAGAGATATACTCTTCGAGAAATCTCTACCAGGGATATATCCCTTAGAATATATACATGACAGTTTTTATCCCCCTGAATGAAAAATGAGAGTATTTCTCACCCAACTATTGTCATGTCTATTCTTTTCTTGCCTCAAATTAACACCATTTAGTGTCACTATGTATCCTGATATTTCGGTTGTGGAGTAGCTTTTAAGGATGGATGTTTATATATTATATCAGAAATCGATATTGCACAAGGTTAAAATTGAGAGGTTGAATGTGTACATGTCACATGTGGGTTTGGTATTGGAAATTTAACTATCAGTGTTTTCTTTTATGGGGTTGTGCAGTATGCTCATATTTTCTATAACTTTGTTTTCTGTATTTCTGTTTCATTAATGTAATGTCATGAAAAATATTTGTATATATTACCTAATTATTTCCATTGATTATAGGGATATTAAATGTGCAAATATATTGGTGGATGCGAATTGATCTTTTAAGCTTTCAGATTTTGGATTGGCGAAGGTGGCTCTCAATTCATGACTTTGCTTTGTTCCTGTCGAGCTTTCATTTATGAACAATCTTCTGTTGTTTATCTTTCCATTTTCTAATATTGTGTTATTCTTATTGTTTTTCAGGCAATCAAATTGAATGATGTTAAATCATGCAAGGGAACAACATTCTGGATGGCCCTAGAGGTTTGCCTTCAATATTCTCTTCTAATTAAAGTTATTGAAAAATGGGTATGGGCCGTCCTTTGTATGAATGGAGTGTAGACATGGTTGTTAGTAAGTAACATTTAAAATGTAAGTTTGTTGCTGGATCCATGGTTCTAGATTAAGTTTATACTTTTTTTTCAGCCCAGGCTTTTGTCCTTTTGGTAATTACTGAAGGTTTTCGCCCTTCAGTAATTACCGAGGGGAAAAGGCCGTCGGTAAATGTTAGCGACAAGGAATTTACGGACGGTAATCTGACCGTCGATAAACTGTTGATAAAAGGTCATTATCGACGACTTCTGGCTGTTTCCGAGGGATTATGACCTTCGGTAATGCCCTTCCTTTTTGTAGTTGTGTTTTCCTTCATTTTAGTGTGGCTTTCAAACCCCGAACTTTGGTAATCATGTTGAATCGACATACTTTGACAAGGATCTTCATTTCCATAAAACGCTTTATCCACACCTTTTTGTACCCAGATTTTCATGTTTCTCTTCAACCAACTTTCTTACATTATGAATACTACTTTCAAGTTCGACAATAACCCGAATTTATTCTTCTACAACACAAATTAATTCCTCCTTCTGTACTGTATTTTGCTTCTTAAATTGTACACCATATTTTGAACTACTTCTTTCACCATCACATAAGAAAGCCCTTCTTTAGAGACCCCAACATCAACAACAACCTTAACAAATGAACAAATTTCATTATTTAAAACAGGAAATGGTATACAATACATTAGACAAACACATTCCTCAAATAACCAACTACTCACCACCTTAGCCAAAATACTTCTGATGAAATTCTCACCAATATTGATACCAATCCAGTTTAACACCCTTAGAGAATTTTGTTACTTGACTATTGTACCTTGAGTTTGATATCACAAAATGATGACAAAACCAAACTTGCAAAATATAAAAAAAAATTCACATCAAAACTGATAAAAAAGCAAAACATATAATTGCATTTGAAGAACACAACAAATAAATTTCAATCTAAAATAAGTTAAATTCCAAAAACAATTCAAAATAAAAAATTATAATACAATTCAAAATTATTTTAAACTTCAAATATAATAAAACATACACAAAAAAGCAAAATTAGGAGGGTTGGCGAGCCGATTCGGCTCACCACATATACAACCTGGGTGAGCCAGGTTCTAGTGGTTCGAACTCAAAATTGACCTGTATCAAAAGTTCGTTTTTTTTTTCAAACCAACCCGTTCCAAACTCTCTGATGGGTCAGATTGATGGATTCCAATCCATTTTGATAGCACTATAATAAATATACAATTTTAAATTAAATTAAATTAAATCCACGTATTTATCCCTAGTTACTTGAGTGCATTATTCCATCTAGTATCCAATTTTGCTATTCATTTTTAATTAAATTAATAAAACTATCACATGCATGCTTTTATGGGTCAAGTTGTTTGATGTCATATCATATTTTTAACTATTGTATAACTTACTCAACATCAGCATCAGAACACAAATACGAATCTAAATCTAACACAAATACGAATCTAACGAAAAAAATATGTTACTAAAATCCTCAAACTAAACAACATCACTTCATAAACTATATCTTTTCGAAAAAATAACTGCATGTGATGTGATGATGAATTTGTATTGTATATTCATTATTTTAGGGATAGAAGTTAAATCGACTAATATACCATTACGTTATAATATTTGGACAGTTACAGTTTTGGAAAAATGTGTTTTTCGTAGTTATTATTAATTATAACTTTTATTCTAATAATAAGTGAAAACGTAAAACAAAAGAAAAAGCAAATAGATCTTAAAATTAAAAAGCATAACTTTAAAATATGTGTTTCCAACAAATTTTCAATAGCTATGAATTGAGTGGTAAATAATAAAAATAAATAAACTTAGTATACTAATGAAAACTTAGTAAGAATCAAATAAAGATTTATCTTCAAATAAATTTTACTTTTCTAGATAATGAAATAAAATAATAATAATAATAATAAATGAATAATATACCGAATTATTGCAAGTCAAAGTAGTGTTGATCAACAAATTCCAAACTCTCTGCGGAAAAAAAGGGAATGAAACAAAATTAGCCGGTGCATATACAAACTATACAGAGTATATTTGAACTTATTCAGACACAGAAGTTGGTACCATAGTTTCCTAAAGCATCAATGATGCGAATAATTAGTATCAACAGAATGTTGTCATCTGATTTTTTTTCTCCATGGACATATCTCTTAATAAAAAAAATTATCAGGATTTGTGAACATCAACATAAGTTAAAGAAACAATGTACATCAGCATAGCATAATCCTTACTTGCAGGCTATATATGTATAATCTCAGTAGTCTTTTCTCTCATAACAGTACTGCCAACAGTACAACCTGTTGCCCCAACAATTAAAAACAGATTCTTTGAATCTTCATTCATTCCATTTCTAGAGTTTGGAACAAAGTCAGGCAAACATGAAAAAAGTCCTTGCAATGTTGATTCAATACGTAGAAGAGTCACTTTCAAGTGCTCTTTCTCATCCCTGCGTGACAAATCACATTCAATATAACAATTAAGAACTTCCTTCATGCAACACTACCATCCCAATATGTCTGCATCATGATCACCAGATTTTAACTATGTCATGTCAAAAGGGAACTCAGATAATTTATCTTGCTCAGGATGACGAGGTAAAGTATAAACTACTTGAGACATGGGTATTTCTCATACCTTGGTCTGCATGGATTTTAGACTGACATATTTTCAATTGATCATCCAAAGCTGACTCGAAGTGAATGTCTATTAGCTCATTTGCAAAATGAATTTCTTCATCACATGGAATATGCAATTTTGGGATAAAGCTTTCCTTAGTGAAAAAACCTTTTGTGCTAATCCATTCTTTAAGGGCAACAACATCAGGGTGACTAAGAACACACCTATAAAATAAAAAAATTAACATTTGAATTTCCAGAGAAAGATATAAAACCAAGAGAATGAGGACAGAAAAAACTAAATAAACATAGTCAAACACTTATATATGCATACTTATACTAATCAATTGGATAATAATGAAAGATCCATAAGTGAAAGATCCATAAGCTGAAAAACATGATAGATCAGTGTTAATACATTCAGACAAGTCCATTAAAGTAAAAATATCTACAATAACACATCAAAAGTAACAAAACCCTACGTACCTTCTTCCTCGTATGAAAAGCTTTACTCTGTTCACCAAATTCCTCCATGACACTACACCAAAACCAAACAAGGATAAACAATATATCAAGAACACCCATAAAATAATAAAACCAATAAATGATGGAAAAAAGTAGAACAAAAATAACACCTACCGAACAACAACTAAAGAGTTCCAAACAAACAGTCAAATGACTACGGAATCGTGAAAACGCTCACTTTTTCGGTGGTCATTGCAATCAAATCTTGGAAGGGCGAACAATGTTCACCCGGTGAGCAGCGCCGGTGAGAGGGAAGTCCTTTTCTCTAGGGTTCTCTTTATAAGGTTGCCTTAGAATCCAAGTTTGAAATGACAAATGAAACCCTAACAATTGAAATCCTGTCCCCATTTTTCTTTCCACGTCATTTTTTTTTTTTAATTTAATTTTCATGTGGATCAGTGACATTTTGACACCTAACTGTTAAACTGGTTGTTAAATTGGTTGTTAAAGTATCATTTTCCATTCAAGGGAAATTTGAACTCAGTGCTACTTCTGCTTCTACTGTGCCTCTCTGGTTAGATGGTAGCAAATCATACTTCCACATTCCACGTTCAATAAAGTCTTCAATTCTTCACTGTGATGGGTTGCAACTTAAATACGGTACCTAACCGTTTTCCTCAATTACAGAAATCTTGCGCTTCCGAGCTGTCAAATTTGCACAATGCATCATTTTGAGGTTAATTAGGTCTTGTTCATTTACCCAGCGATACTGAAATTTCTTCACATCCGCCGTAACAAAATCGTCGTAATCCAACAATGAGATAATCGACGTCCAACACAAACTAAAAGGTTTAATACCACGTTCGTCCACAGAAACCTTTTCATAATGTAACCACATGTGATCTCTTCTAAAATCCATTGGAATTTGTTCATTGTCTAGACGAAATATTAGGCAACACAAAACACCAATAAAATTATTGTCATGCGGAATGGGAGGTGGATCAACGGTTATGTTTTCTTTGTCCAGGTATTCTATGTCCACGTTCACAAACTCATTGTTGAACAAGCTCGGTATTTGACTTCCAGGTATAATACTTTCTGGGAATGGCCATTGGTAGGTCGTCTGGTGGTAGGTCGCGTGGTGGTAGTTCGCCTGGTACCAGCAGAGTTATTGGTCAGTAGTTGTTCTCCTAGAAAAAAGAAAAATTAAAAAGCAAGAAGAAGGAAACAGCATCCACACCTCAAGAATTTGAATTGCCCATGAAAAACTCTTTGTAGTGCACTGTTCAATCTCAACTAATTCTGGGCAGCCGAAAATGATTAATCCTGCAAATCTAATATCTGTATCTTTCTCAGTCAAAAAATCAGGCCAATCAAGTATTGAAGATGGGAATCTCGACAGCGTGAAAGGTTCTAAGGGCAAGACAGTTCGTGAAGGGAGATCAGGCAAGTATTTCAATCGCTTGCAATCCTGTAGGTTTAAAAAACGCAGTCTCAAAAGGTCCTTGATGTTAGGCAATTTAACAAAATTGTTTCCCTCTAAATTTAGCCTCTCTAAGCAACGTAACTTTCCAATGTAATCAGGAATTTGAACTAAGTTACAGAAGCTTAGATCGAGTTCACACAAACAAGAGAGAGGAGAGGAGGGCGACAAACAGCTGATCAAGTGCTCTGTGTTCCTTGTTTCATCTAGTAAACAATTACTACCTATTATTGAACAACCACTGACATCCAGATATTTAAGAGAACTCAGGCCCAATATAGTATTGGATAAGATTACTACTTTTTTGCAGTCTCTCAAATTCAAATGAACAAGCTCTCTCAGACTCCCAATCGATGGATTGAGTTTTTGGAGCTTTACGCATCCTTCAAGATTTATCTCTTCAAGATTTAGGGCCTCTGCTACATCTGGCATCTCAACTAAACTTTCGCAAAAAGAGAGATCCAAACGCTTCAAATTGGGTAACGGCTACATAGATGGGCAAAAAAAGAAAACAAAATTAATAATGACACTTGGGTTTTCTTTAATTTCTTTTCTCCATAAATTAATCAAAGAATAAAGGAATTAAAAATAAAAAGTTTGTCATTTATTTTCTTTATTTTTAAAAGAAGTACAAATAAAAAATTAATTTACACTACCTTTGTGCCTTCCCACAGTCGTTTAATACTGCTCTGATACAGGCTTAACTCAACTAGTTTGTGTGGCTGAAAACTTTGAGGCAAACACTCAAACGGATATCCAGACCAAACAAGATATCCTAGTTCATTCGAAAGATGACTGAGACTTCCCGAAAAGTTCACGTACCGAACAGAAAGCAATTTCAGGTGTTTAATTTTTGATAGACCATCCGCCTTGATTGTTTCATCTGTAAATCAGTTGCATCATTCCGTAAATTTAGAAGCAGTTTTGTAATTGTGGAATAGTCTATGATAATATTAGGCAGTTTCTCATTCAATAAAACACAGGAATTTCTTCTTTCACAATACAACCTTTACATACCTATAACATCGTCCCATTTAATAACTATTGCCTCAAGGTTTCGAGTTGCCTATAACATGGCACATTGTTAGATGTATGTTTTGAAGTATTTACAAATTCTAAAATAATTGCAATCTAAAATTTATAATCAAACACGTAAATTTTACCTCGTTCTCTGACATAGCATCATGGAGATCTTTGCGTGTCCACAACCTACTCCACTTTATAGGCTCTTTAGGTGATACTTCCCGAACAATACACCTGCCCAAATCCACTAGCAAGCTATGCATATGTATGAACCCATGGAAAGTTCTGCTAATGAGTGATTTATCAATGAGAACTTCTATGCTATCTTCAGGATGAAATCCACGGAAATTTAGAATTTCCTTCACACATTCTTCATGATAAGAATTGAAGAAGCAAGCAATATCTAAAAAAGTTTGTTTGTATTTTTCTTCCAGTTGAATATAACTTATGCGCAAAATATCCATAATATTTTTACTTTTATTTTCTTTTAGCCCTTCCAATACACTTTTCCATTGTGACAAACTTCGGCCAAACAAAGATGATCCAATTGTTTCAATTGCCAAGGGATGGCCTTCAACATGTGATAGTATCT